TCCCCCGCAATTTTATGTTAAACCCCAGTCCTTCATAAAAACACCGCCGCACGTCAAAATCCCCAAATTCTGAAAAAATTCATTCTTCCATACTCCTCCCCCCAATTTTTATATCCAATTTTTCTTTATCTAAATCATTTGATACCCCCCATCCACCTTACTCTTTTCTATTTTTACTTTCAAATTTTTACCCTTTTTACACATTCTCAAACTCACCAACTAACCTTTGCTTTTTTTTTTTAGAATCTCCCTAAGCACAGTATCCAACAAAAAGTAACTGTGTCAATTCCCATTTTGAATTTGATTCCCCATAATTTAATCCCACCCCTCTCCCCCGAACACCCTAGCATTTACTTCTTTTACAACCCCATCTATAAATATATTAAACAACCATGGTGACATTACACATCCCTGTCTAAGACCTACTTTTACCGGGAAGTATTCTCCCTCTCTTCTACACACCCTAACCTGAGCCTCACTATCCTCATAAAAGCTCTTTACAGCATTTAGTAACTTACCACCTATTCCATATACTTGCAACATCTGCCACATTGCTCCTCTATCCACTCTATCATATGCCTTTTCTAAATCCATAAATGCAATAAAAACTTCCCTACCTTTATCTAAATACTGTTCACATATATGCTTCAATGTAAACACTTGATCTACACATCCCCTACCCACTCTGAAGCCTCCCTGCTCATCCGCAATCCTACATTCTGTCTTACCTCTAATTCTTTCAATTATAACCCTACCGTATACTTTTCCTGGTATACTCAGTAAACTTATTCCTCTATAATTTTTTACAATCTCTTTTGTCCCCTTTCCCTTTATATAAAGGGACTATACATGCTCTCTGCCAATCCCTAGGTACCTTCCCCTCTTTCATACATTTATTAAACAAAAGTACCAACCACTCCAACACTATATCCCCCCCTGCTTTTAACATTTCTGTCATGATCCCATCAGTTCCAGCTGCTTTACCCCCTTTCATTCTACGTAATGCCTCACGTACCTCCACCACACTTACATTCTGCTCTTCTTCACTCCTAAAAGATGGTATACCTCCCTGGCCAGTGCATGAAATTACCGCCTCCCTTTCTTCCTCAACATTTAAAAGTTCCTCAAAATATTCTCGCCATCTACCTAATACCTCCCTCTCCCCATCTACTAACTCCCCTACTCTGTTTTTAACTGACAAATCCATACTTTCCCTAGGCTTTCTTAACTTGTTTAACTCACATCCAAAATTTTTTCTTATTTTCATTAAAATTTCTTGACAGTGCCTCTCCCACTCTATCATCTGCTCTCCTTTTGCACTCTCTCACCACTCTCTTCACCTTTCTTTTACTCTCCATATACTCTGCTCTTCTTATAACACTTCTGCTTTGTAAAAACCTCTCATAAGCTACCTTTTTCTCTTTTATCACACCCTTTACTTCATCATTCCACCAATCACTCCTCTTTCCTCCTGCCCCCACCCTCCTATAACCACAAACTTCTGCCCCACATTCTAATACTGCATTTTTAAAACTATTCCAACCCTCTTCAACCCCTCCACTACTCATCTTTGCACTAGCCCACTTTTCTGCCAATAGTCGCTTATATATATACACACCCCTCTTGAGTTTTCTGCTATATTCTTTCTAGTTCTTGTTCTTGTTTATTTCCTCTTATCTCCATGGGGAAGTGGAACAGAATTCTTCCTCCGTAAGCCATGCATGTTGTAAGAGGCGACTAAAATGCCGGGAGCAAAGGGCTAGTAACCCCTTCTGTATAAATTACTAAATTTGAAAAGAGAAACTTTTGTTTTTCTTATTGGGCCACCCTGCCTCGGTGGGATACGGCCAGTTTGTTGAAAGAAAGAAAGACATGTATGTGTAGTGTGACCTAAGTGTAAGTAGAAGTAGCAAGATATACCAGAAACCGTGCATGTTTCTTCTTCTTTCAACGCACCAGCCGTATCCCACTGAGGTGGGGGTGACCCAAAAGAAAAAAAACGAAAGTTTCGCCTTTTAAATTTAGTAATATATGCAGGAGAAGGGGTTACTAGCCCCTTGCTCCCGGCATTTTAGCCATCTCTTACGACACGCATGGCTTACGGAGGAAGAATTCTGTTCCACTTCCCCAAGGAGACCGCGCATGTTTATGAGACAAAAAAAAAAAAAAAAAAAAAAAAACAGCAATCCTTCCAACATGTAAAACAGTTACAGGTTTCTGTTTTACACTCCCTTAGCAGGGTGGTTGTACCTCCCTGGGCAGTTGTTGTCTACCAACGTACTACCTAGGAGATATCTTCATATTTGTTGTAATTAAGGTAATTTAATAGGTTATAGAAATCCCCCACTTAGCAATGGTTTTGCATTCCAGTAAAAAGTTGTCTCAAGCAAATTTTCACTAAGGAAAGCCTAATTTTAAATAGACCCCCTTTTCTCTATAATTTGTTAGGTAAAAGGACTTGTAGACCCCTTTTACTCAGTAATTTCGTAGACAAAAGGACTTGTGTGCATTTACTGTGGCAACATTTTGCTTTGTCAAGCTTGATAAAGTTCATGTAGAGCTAAATGTTGCTGCAATAAATTGTCACATTAGTTATACAGCCTCTCCTTACTTAGCGACGTAGTACGTACTCGTTTTCTGGTGACTCGGACTTACGACAGGCTCTCTGACCAGTATGCATACCTGAATAATGTATACTAGAGCTGATTTCCTCTATTCTATTTATTACAGTATAGAGTACACTACTGTATAAACATTTAAAAATATACTAAAAATGTTATAAATGGTGGAAAGGTGACCCGTAGCTCGATCACTAGCACACTCAGCTCACACACTGAGGTCCGGGGTTCAAATCTCCTCTGGTACAGCTGGAAAACATTAGGGACTTATTTCCATAAGACATCTTCTATCCCTGTCCCTGTTCACCCATCAGTTTAAAATGGGTACCTGGGTGTTAGTTGACTAGTGTGGGTCGTATCCTGAGATAAAACAAGGGACTTTCTACATAGTAGTATGTCATCTAGGCCTGTATACCATGTACAAGTACTTGTAGTAAATAAAAATATTATTATTATATCAAAGATGGTTGACACAAACCCACTACTATTGTAGTATGCTCCTCACTTAGTGATGAATTCTTTTAACGACGTGGTCATAGGAATGGAACTCCGTTGTTAAGTGAGGAGAGGCTGTACATGTATCCTTTTACCTAACTTTTTTTTCAACACTCCGGCTGTATCCCACCAAGGCAGGGTGACCTAAAGAGAGAAACGAAAGTTTTTCTTTTTAAATTTAGTAATTTATATAGGAGAAGAGGTTACTAGCCCCTTGCTCCTTTTACCTAATATATTGTGGGAGAGTTACTGTCAAGAAATTTTAATGAAAATAAGAAAAAATTTTGGAGTGAGTTAAACAAGTTAAGAAAGCCTAGGGAAAGTATGGATTTGTCAGTTAAAAACAGAGTAGGGGAGTTAGTAGATGGGGAGAGGGAGGTATTAGGTAGATGGCGAGAATATTTTGAGGAACTTTTAAATGTTAAGGAAGAAACAGAGGCAGTAATTTCATGCACTGGTCAGGGAGGTATACCATCTTTTAGGAGTGGAGAAGAGCAGAATGTAAGTGTGGGGGAGGTACGTGAGGCATTACGTAGAATGAAAGAGGATAAAGCAGCTGGAACTGATGGGATCATGACAGAAATGTTAAAAGCAGGGGGGGATATAGTGTTGGAGTGGTTGGTACTTTTGTTTAATAAATGTATGAAAGAGGGGAAGGTACCTAGGGATTGGCGGAGAGCATGTATAGTCCCTTTATATAAAGGGAAAGGGGACAAAAGAGACTGTAAAAATTATAGAGGAATAAGTTTACTGAGTATACCAGGAAAAGTGTACGGTAGGGTTATAATTGAAAGAATTAGAGGTAAGACAGAATGTAGGATTGCAGATGAGCAGGGAGGCTTCAGAGTGGGTAGGGGATGTGTAGATCAAGTGTTTACATTGAAGCATGTAAGTGAACAGTATTTAGATAAAGGTAGGGAAGTTTTTATTGCATTTATGGATTTAGAAAAGGCATATGATAGAGTGGATAGAGGAGCAATGTGGCAGATGTTGCAAGTATATGGAATAGGTGGTAAGTTATTAAATGCTGTAAAGAGTTTTTATGAGGATAGTGAGGCTCAGGTTAGGGTGTGTAGAAGAGAGGGAGACTACTTCCCGGTAAAAGTAGGTCTTAGACAGGGATGTGTAATGTCACCATGGTTGTTTAATATATTTATAGATGGGGTTGTAAAGGAAGTAAATGCCAGGGTGTTTGGGAGAGGGGTGGGATTAAATTTTGGGAATCAAATTCAAAATGGAATTGACACAGTTACTTTTTGCTGATGATACTGTGCTTATGGGAGATTCTAAAGAAAAATTGCAAAGGTTAGTGGATGAGTTTGGAAATGTGTGTAAAGGTAGAAAGTTGAAAGTGAACATAGAAAAGAGTAAGGTGATGAGGTATCAAATGATTTAGATAAAGAAAAATTGGATATCAAATTGGGGAGGAGGAGTATGGAAGAAGTGAATGTTTTCAGATACTTGGGAGTTGACGTGTCGGCGGATGGATTTATGAAGGATGAGGTTAATCATAGAATTGATGAGGGAAAAAAGGTGAGTGGTGCGTTGAGGTATATGTGGAGTCAAAAAACGTTATCTATGGAGGCAAAGAAGGGAATGTATGAAAGTATAGTAGTACCAACACTCTTATATGAGTGTGAAGCTTGGGTTGTAAATGCAGCAGCGAGGAGACGGTTGGAGGCAGTGGAGATGTCCTGTTTAAGGGCAATGTGTGGTGTAAATATTATGCAGAAAATTCGGAGTGTGGAAATTAGGAAAAGGTGTGGAGTTAATAAAAGTATTAGTCAGAGGGCAGAAGAGGGGTTGTTGAGGTGGTTTGGTCATTTACAGAGAATGGATCAAAGTAGAATGACATGGAAAGCATATAAATCTATAAGGGAAGGAAGGCGGGGTAGGGGTCGTCCTCAAAAGGGTTGGAGAGAGGGGGTAAAGGAGGTTTTGTGGGCAAGGGGCTTGGACTTCCAGCAAGCGTGCGTGAGCGTGTTAGATAGGAGTGAATGGAGACGAATGGTACTTGGGACCTGATGATCTGTTGGAGTGTGAGCAGGGTAATATTTAGTGAAGGGATTCAGGGAAACCGGTTATTTTCATATAGTCGGACTTGAGTCCTGGAAATGGGAAGTACAGTGCCTGCACTTTAAAGGAGGGGTGTGGGATATTGGCAGTTTGGAGGGATATGTTGTGTATCTTTATATGTGTATGCTTCTAAACTGTTGTATTCTGAGCACCTCTGCAAAAACAGTGATAATGTGCGAGTGTGGTGAAAGTGTTGAATGATGATGAAAGTATTTTCTTTTTGGGGATTTTCTTTCTTTTTTGGGTCACCCTGCCTCGGTGGGAGACAGCCGACTTGTTGAAAAAAAAAAAAAAATCTCTTTTTTAACACTGGCTGTTTCCCACCAAGGTGGGTGACCCGAAAAAGAAACATTCACCATCATTCACTCTATCACTGTCTTGCCAGAGGTGTGCAGATACTACAGTTCAGCTGCCCCTCCAAATTGCAAATATCCCCAGCCCTCCTTCAGAGTGCAGGCACTGTATTTCTCACCTCCAGGACTCAGATCTAGCTAGTTAACTGGTTTCCTGAATCCCTTCAAAATATGTTACCTTGCCTACACTCCAACAACTCGTCAAAACCCAAAAACCATTCTGTCAATAATAATTAGAGATGCCTTTTGGGAAAATAATTTTAAGTACACTTTCCCTATAAAATGGAGATTTTTGTCAAGTTTTGGATCTTGTTGACAAAAAATGTACTTGACCCAAAATGTACATGCATGCTAGTGGCTTTCTTTGTGTTTAACAATATTTTATTACATGTAAACTACACTTTGTATACAAACAAACAACTTTACCAAACAAAGAAATAAAGTTGTTTGTTTTGTGTGATAAATACTACATCCCTTTCCCCTCCTTTCCCCTAAAAGAAAAAAAATGATTTTCAGAACACTCAGCATTATTGGTAAGCTCATGTGATGACTTCATCAAAGTGTGTTGGGGTTGGCAATTTAGGATTGCAAAAATTAAGAAGATAGAGTATTCATAAAATGTTTAATGTGCTTCTTGAATGCTTTTTCTTGTTTGTCTCTTTTATCAGAATATTTTATTTCTTAACCCTTAAACTGTTCAAACATAGATCTATGTTCACGTGCGCAGGGTTCCGAACGTAAATCTGCGTTTTTTTTTACATGCTTTCAAATGGGGAAAATAAAGGTTGGAGTACTATGCACGTGAATGTAGATATACATTTGGACAGTTTAAGGGTTAATAATGCATTTGAAGGATGAAGTATTGTTTGAATATGACAGATTAAGTTTAGAGTGGAGATGTCATGTCTAAGGGCAATGTGTGGTGTAAATATTATGCAGAGAATTCATAGTGTGGAAATTAGGAAGAGGTGTGGAGTTACTAAGAAGAGGGGTTATTGAAGTAGTTTGGTCATTTAGAGAGGATGGAACAAAGTAGAATGACTTGGAGAACGTATAAATCTGTAGGGGAAGGAAGGCGGGGTAGGGGTTGTCTTAAGAGAGGTTGGAGGAAGGGGGTAAAGGATGTTTTGTAGACAAGGGGCTTGGACTTCCAGTAAGCATGCATGAGCGTGTTTGTGTCACGTTGTTGCAGGCGGGGTTCAATGATAAGGCTTCGGAGGCTTCTTACTTTATTTGCGATATCGTGGGTACACAGGCAGTGTGTTTGTGCCCATGGCCTGGGAGGGCCATGCCCAGCGAGGGAGAGAGGAGTAGGCCGTGTTGACTGAGTGAAGGCCGCTGAGAGAGTGGTAGGGTGATGCCGTATCAAGTGGCATGCCCACTGAGAGGCCTACAGGTGGCAGCACGAGCATGGTGCGAAATGTGAACTCAGCTGGCAGGCAGCATAGGCTGTCTATGCAGACAGTACAGGCTGTCTACATGTTAGATAGGAGTGAATGGAGATGAATGGTTTTTGGGACCTGATGAGCTGTTGGAGTGTGAGTAGGGTAATATTTTGCGAAGGGATTCAAGGAAACTGGTCAGCCAGACTTGAGTCCTGGAAGTGGGAAGTACAATGCCTGCACTTTAAAGGAGGGGTTTAGGATATTGGCAGTTTGGAGGGACAACTAAACTGTTGTATCTGAGCTCCTCTGTGAAGACAGTATGAATGATAGTGAAAGTTGAATGAAGATGGAAGTTTTTTCTTTCGTTTTGGGTCATCCTGCCTTAATGGGAAACGGCCGATGTGTTAAAAGAAAAATTAACCATGATCAACAATGAATTTAGGTGGTACAGAAAGAGGTCTGTTGCCTGCACTGTCTCCAGCTCCTCTTGTATGTTGTAGCAAATAAAAGAGTATTATGGAAATATTCCTTTAAATATACCTGCTTTTTTTTTCAAAGCAGCAATAGACCTTATAGGTTAACTTAAAGGTTGGTAATATGCTGTAGTGCACTGTAGTCTTAAATATGCACCTGTCATCTGTTTTACCTAAAGCCAGGTCTGGTGACTAATTGATGATACATATTTTCCTGTGTTTACCTTTCATATAATAGTTGAGTTTTGAATCCTAATTGATACACCCCATATCTTTCAGTTATGCTTTGATGACTTTTCCAATCATTTTCCCATAATACAGCCTAAAATTATCCTGCTTCTTATTGTATTACAGCTAACTGTACAAACATTTTCTACAATTTTTATTACTAAAGTTCTCCTCTGGCATTATGGTGTCAATTTTTGTAACTTTTAATTACAAAAATTTGCCATATGATTTCCCTTCCACATTTACCCCTTATTTCTCTCTAGGTTGGACATTTTCTAGGCTCATGATTTCTTTCACATGAATAGCATCATGTTTTAGCATTACTTTACAATTTATCATAATTGCAAGGTTCATGCTGTATTATATTCATCTCCACTTCCAGAAAGATCAGTCATCTTAAGCCTTTCATTGTTTCTTACGTATATCTACGTTATTGATGCCAGTATCACTCGTGTAGATCTACGTTTTAAGCATGGTGCTCTCAAATATGTCCTAAGAGTTAGTTTTGTCCTAGACTTGAGAGAGTGGGTCTGTGCAGTGAGTGTGCATGGTGTTAAATCCTGCCCCATGCAGTGCATGAGGGAAAAAGCAAATCTCTGACCTTGTGTTTGGTTTAAAACAGCATATTTGAGGTGTATTGGCAATATTTTGGTATCAGTTGATAAAATGTAAAACATAATAATGAAATAGAAATTATTTTAGTTGGTTTCAGGACCAGAAATCAGGCTCAAAGTAGCAGAAATATCCTATTTTTGATGATTTTTCTGAGGATGGATGAGGTCCATCCCCCTAGTATATTTTATGGGTTTTTACTAGATTTACTTTAATTACTGGGATGCCCTCAATCATGACTAATCGTTTGTGGTTATATTTTATTATCTGAGAAGTAGGTTTTTTGTGTGAAGATGAATTCAAAATGGAGGGTAATTGTAATATAGGAGAGGCCTGGGATGTGATTAATGAACAGAGGAAATTCTCTGTACTTCATAGGGTAGTTCTGATAGTTGAATGGGCAATTTTTTGTGCTCAATAGAATGGTAGGCATATTGGTGAAATAGCAGAATTTGGTTGAAGTGAGCAATAGAATTGACTTAAAAAAAGGACTCAACATGGGCAAAATCACTCTTGTGTCCAGACCTTCAATATTGTGCCTGTGTAATTCTGTAAGTTTTCCATCAAATTTCCTATTTTTAGTGTTATTTACCTTCAGAAAAGTTTCTCTACGTACAGTGTTAGCACTTTTAATTGCAGGGCTTCTAATAGCAAAGAGGCTAATTACGCACAGTATTCAGCATTTGACTCCATACAATATGCCAGACTAGCCACCTAAAGAGAAATACTAATACTGTATCTTAATGTACTTGATGAAACATTTCAGACCCGCTATGTCCAACAACTGAAATCTATTAAAGCCACACTGGAAACATCCACATTCTTTAAAACTCATGAGGTCAGTTATTTAATAATGTGTTTTGATAATTATGATAAGATTTAATTTTAAGGTGTATTGCATAGTAGGGAGCAAGGTGCTAGTAACCCCTTCTCCTGTATAAATTACTAAATGTAAAAAGAAGAAAATTCTATAGTTTTCTTCTTTTTCAGGTCACTCTGCCTCTGTGGGAGACAGCTGGTATGTTGAAAAAAATATTTTTTTTTTTCAACAAACTGGCCGTATCCCACTGAGGCAGGGTGACCTAAAAAGAAAAACAAAAGTTTTTCTTTTTAAATTTAGTAATTTATACAGGAGAAAGGGTTATTGCATAGTTAGCACCATGTATAAATTTTAAGCCTCAAATGCAAGGTGAAGAAATCCTCTTCATGGTAATGAAAGTGCATAATATTGAGTGAAGTAATTACAACCTTTTATACAGCCAGGAATCATTATTCTGTTATTTTGCATTTTCATTTATACATAAGGTTTGAAAACCTTGAATATATCCAGAGGCGTCGCTAGGGTTGGTGTCACCCGGGGCTGAATCTTTGGTGTCACCCCCATGAAATCCAAGGGTGGGGGGATAGGGGTAGTAAACTCCAGTTACGTCACTGCTGCATGCCCAGTGACTAATGTTTAGCAATGAGAACATTTAACGGCCATAAACCGAACTTTATTAATGATAAAATAAATAATCGTACTAATATTGAGGAAACATAAACTCAAATACCACTTTGAGTATAGGCAACAGATCCAACATTTATTCATTTTCAACAGTGAAAAAAAAAATCTTGGAAAATAAAGAAAAAACTAGTTCCAATTTAACCTTGAGTACAGGTAATATCTCAAAGAATCTGATATTTCATTTCCTTGCCTTCAATCCTGCAAAATCATCTATCACATCATCAAAATCAATTATTTTTCTTATATAGGCCTATTTGTACTCTGTAACCCTATAATAGGTATGTAGAAACAAAGAATTTTTCTCTTAGGTCGCTGCAGTATGGTTTTGGTCATTAGTATTACCTTCTTTAGAGGCTCTATGGTGTCACCCCCCCACACCCCCCTTACGACGCCCCTGTATATATCAGTTGACCAATTTATCCATCTGTTTAACACTCCTTGTAGTGAACATGCAAAGTTCATGTAGTATATATTTTCTGAATAATCATAACTAATTAAAAATAGATTTTTTAAGTGTAGAATAACTGAAGGATGAATGTTTGGAAATTCTCAAAATTCTACTTAAATCCAACTTTATAATAGTGTAATGGGGAGCTTTCTTAAGTAAAAAAAAAAAATGCTGGATAATGCAGTGTGGTAATCAGTATGGCATTTTAACTTAATAGCATTTTGGATTGCTCTTTAGATTGGAATCACCTGAAGATTTACTACCATCTCTCCTGTTTCCATATATAAAACAGTATAATATACAGTAGTTACAAAAATTCCTGATCTTTCTTCTTTCAACACACCGGTCGTATCCCACCAAAGCGGGGTGTCCCAAAAGAAAAAACGAAAGTTTCCCCTTTTACATTTAGTAATATATACAGGAGAAGGGTTTACTAGCCTCTTGCTCCAAGCATTTTAGTCACCTCTTACAACACGCATGGCTTATGGAGGAAGAATTATGTTCCACTTCCCCATGGAGGTAAGAGGAAATAAACAAGAACAAGAACTAGAAAGAAAATAGAAGAAAACCCAGAGGGGTGTGTATATATATGCTGGTACTTGTATGTGTAGTTTGACCTAAGTGTAAGTAGAAGTAGCAAGATGTACCTGAAATCTTGCATGTGTATGAGACAGAAAAAAAAAGACACCAGCAATCCTACCATCGTGTAAAATAATTACAAGCTTCCGTTTTACACTCACTTGGCAGGACGGTAGTACCTCCCTGGGTGGTTGCTGTCTACCAACCTACTACCTACAAAAAAAAAAAAAAAAAAAATTCCTGATAGGTTAGGTAAATTATATTTGCTTAAATATTGCTGAAATTTTACCTGTGTTAGCTAGGGCTGATGTTAGTTTCCATGCAAAATAAAAAAAAATGTGAAGTCAACAATTTACCAAACTATATTTCAGTTGTATCTGAAGGTTGAATCTTGAGGTGATCCATATATTGTTCTACATTGATGCCACTGTGTTTTATTATGGGGCTCTTAGTTCAGTGTGAGTAATCAGACTGCAGGTAGTACAAGAGAGGGGAAGATGGAGTGGCACTAACTGACGAATTATGGGCCACTTAAAAAATGAACAGGCAAAGAAGAAAAAGTGAATAAGAAACAAAAGGCAAAATTTCATTCAAAATCATTTTTCTTCTCAGATTTACTGAAATTGAGCCAAAAGTGCAAAGATTAATGTCAGTGGTGTATGAAAGAGGGCAGCTGAGCTACCTGAAATTTATGTGTACTAGATAACAAAATATAATTAATATGAAATGTTTATCAAGAGTAGACCTAAGAAAATCTTAGAAAGTTTATATTATATAATTGGATTTTAAATTTAGCTATATTGTCCTACTAATTCTGTCTTTGATCACAAAAAAAAAAAAACTCTGTTCATGACTTTGCCCCTTCATATGTTTCTCCTCTTGCCCAGCTATTCAGGTCTCATAGGAGTGCGAAGCATCAGTGATGTAGACTGCATACTCTTGAAGTATATTTTGATTATATAGAAGCCTGTAGAGCAGTTGTAAACAGGGTATTGGCGTGCAAGGTGGAGTACTACAGGGAAAAAATTGAATCTTGTCATATTGAACAGGGGCTCCTGTTTGCCCATCTGAATGACTTTCTTGGTTATGTAGTGTGTGGCTGGGCAGTGGAATGATCTCAGTTAAGATATGGTGGAGGCAGGTTATATACATAGTTTTAAGAGCAGGTACAATAGGGCCCATGAAAGAGTGAATCTGGCAAGTGGAAAGTTGAGAAGCAGTACCGGGAACTGAGACTTGACCCATGAAACCACAAATGGCTGAGTATGAATAAGTTTCAGGAATACTTGAATTTGTACTGTAAGATTGAATGTACTGTTAGTATCAGAATGTATGTTCATTAAATTATAGTTGATATTTTTTTTTATGAAGGTAAAAATTGTCATGGGCAGTAATTGTGTATTGTATATGAGAAAAACGAGTTGGTACATTCATATATTTTTTTATAATAAAATGATCATTTAAATTTATATGCATTTTAAATCAATTAATTTATTAAATCCTGTCTATTGATTGTAATGTGTACCAAATATGATTTTTTTCAGCTAATAGGCAGCTCTCTGTTGTTTGTTCACAATGACACTTCAGCCTTAGTTAGAATGATAGACTTTGCCAAGACCATCCCACTTCCAGAAAATGTACATATAACCCACCGTAGCCCTTGGTCAGAGGGAACCCATGAAGATGGGTATCTACTAGGTCTGGAAAACCTCATTGACTTGTTTTCAGTAATAGAAAAGAACCTAACTATGAATGGTGAAATCTCTAAGTTAGTGTCATCTTCCTCTTCTGGCAAGCCAAGTGGCAGTGTTGCAGCCGTCTCACCCACCAGCAACAACCTCCACGTACAACCCGTCAGTAACACGTCAAGTTAGGTCTTCTTCTCAGTACAAGTAAAAGAAAAAATGTACAAATCCTCAGCTGTTTAGTAATTTTACTGAAGTCAGATCTTCTTTGTGTGTGAAGTTGTCTCAGAAAGGTTGTTGTGTATGTTCTGCAGCTCAAACAGTGACAAATTACTTGATGAAGTGTGCCATTATAAAGACAATTTTAAAAGGTGACATCTTCAGTTTTTTTTGGAGTGATGCAAAGTTTGGAGAGTATTTTTTGTTTTTACTGTTCTGAAGTAATGAACCTTTGTGTATAAAAAAATGTTTTAAGTGTTTATCCCCTTGCAACCTCCTGGGACTAGTCATAATCTCCTGAGTATATTGTACATGTCAAATAGTTGAGTCCCATCTCCAAGTTTAAGGCCAATTTTCTTTGTGCCTTTCGTGTATATATTTATATATATATATATATTGTACATAGCCTTGATTACCTCGTTTTACGTCCCAAGTCATGAAGTAACTCAACAGTTATCAACTGTTACGACTAAATACTAATATGTACGTAGTCTTACACATGCTCCACTATTAAGAAGCATACCAAAAGTCAGTATCATTTAGTCAGCACTATTAATACCCTGAAAAATATCGTTTGATATTTATTAAAAATGTGTTTCATCATTAAATATTAATTTATTTATATTTATTTAATATCCTGTGTCAGTCTCGCTAACAGTAGGCATGAGATATGCCCTGCATTCCAGATTTTATAAAAAATAGGGAATTATTTCCGAGATTTGTTGATTGAACACTATTTACTTGATAATTTATTCCTTTTGTAGGGATTTGGTTGATTGTAAGAATGAGTTCTTCTTTTAACAAACCAGCCGTATCCCACCGAAGCAGGGTGGCTCAAAAAGAAAAAACAAAAGTTTATATTTTTAACTTTAGTAATATATACAGGAGAAGGGATTACTAGCCTATTGCTCCCTAAGAGTGAGTTATTTTCTGGAACAGTGGCAGTTGTCATAAATTGTTTGCTTAATATTACATATACGTTTTGTTTTGTTTCATAGTTAAAACTCATTAGCCAACATAAAGATTTACAATCAAGTCTAGGAATAATCAGATATACTGTGCTTTAGAATGCATGGATATGAAACGTGTTACCCAGATTTGCCTACAAATTTTGAGTATTCTCACCTTGACCACTATATTAAGGATGGAAACCATGCATAGTCTCTCCACGCTGGCACAAGAATGTGGAAGTCTGTTGTTGTCTGGGCCATGTTGGGGTCCTGGAAAATGAACTGACAGATTCTGATAAAAATGGCTGCTAGTTTGAATAGCAGCTTTTTGAGACACATAGGGAAGTGGCAGGTTCTACATACTAGCAACAAGTTACACAGGGTTCTACTGGATGTGGATGTTTGGCTCTACTCCTTCAACTGAGGATGTGGTACACAAACCTCACCCATGATCCTCTGCTAGAAGGGTGCTTTTGCCCCCACTGTGTTTGACTTGTGGCCTAAGCCCATAGCTTGGCCTTTTCACTTAAATCTAGGGTTTTATAATCACTGAAGATACCTAGAGGAACCTTCGGAAACTTTTAAGGTGAGTCTTGTAACAGCCAGTTTAATGAGTTTTTAGGTGATGCAAGCTATTTTAACTTGCTGTGATATAGTATTTATTTATATTGTGTATTTTGTTCATGCTAGTAGCTTTTATTCTGTTTTTTAAATTTTACCTTGGATGTATATTTGTAACTTGATGTGATAATATTATTTATTTGTGTTGTGTGTTTTGGTATTGTAGCTTATATTTTTGTGGTTTAATTGTACCTTGGGTGTTGTATGTGTACCAGAATGTTTTTGTTTTTGTTTTTAAACATGCTGAGTGACAGCTGCTAAACCATCATGACAGAATTACGGAGGCATTGGAAGAAGATGACCAAAACGCAGATGTGATTTACACAGCTTTTGCAAAGGCGATCATGGAATGATAGCGCACAAAATGAAGGCCATGGGCATTACGGGGAAGGTAGGCAGATGGATTTTTGGTTTCCTAACACACAAAACACAAAAAGTAGTAGTGAACAAGGCAAGATCCAGCATCAGCGAGGTCAAAAGTTCAGTGCCCCAAGGCACTGCCCTGGCACCTCTGCTGTTTCCCATCCTCATAGCAGACATAGACAGAAACACCCGGCACACTTTTGTATCATCATTTGCAGATGACACTAAAATAAGCATGAAAGTCGCTACAGTAGAGGACACTGAAAAAGTACAGGAAGACATAAACAGGGTTTTCCAGTGGGCAATGGAGAACAACATAACATTCAATGGTGATAAGAAGTTCGAGCTGCTTAGGTATGGAAAGAATGAAGAACTCAATAGGAACACTATATACAAAACTCAAGAGGGTCACCAAAAAGAATGCAAGGAACATGTAAAAGACCTGGGAATAATTATGTCAGCTGACCTTTCTTTTAAAGACCTTAACAAGACAAGGATCACAACAGCCAGGAAGATGACGGGGTGGGTATTGAGAACTTTCAAAACAAGGGAAATAATGCTGATGGTGACACTCTTCAAATCACTAGTGCTCCCTCGCTTAGGATATTGCTCAGTGTTGACAGCCCCATTCAAAGCAGGTGAAATATCGGAGCTGGAACAAATACAGAAATCGTTTATGGCTCACATTGAGCCTGTAAAGCACCTAAACTACTGAGAATGCCTCATTGGAGCAGAGGAGAGAGAGATACATGATAATACATGTGGCCTGGTGGCTAAAGCTCCCGCTTCACACACGGAGGGCCCGGGTTCGATTCCCGGGGGGTGGAAACGTTTCGACACGTTTCCTTACACCTGTTGTCCTGTTCACCTAGCAGCAAATAGGTACCTGGGTGTTAGTCGACTGGTGTGGGTCACATCCTGGGGGACAAGATTAAGGACCCCAATGGAAATAAGTTAGACAGTCCTCGATGACGCACTGACTTTCTTGGGTTATCCTGGGTGGCTAACCCTCCGGGGATTAAAAATCCGAACAAAATCTTATCTTATCTTATACCTGGAAAATACTCAAGGGCCTGGTCCCAAATGTGCACACTGCCATAACAACATACTGGAGTGAGAGATATGGGAGGAAGTGTAAAATAAACCCAATGAGGAGCAGGGGTGCAGTGGGGACAATAAGGGAACACTGTATCAACATCCGGGGACCCAGACTATTCAACATCTTACCAGAAGATATCAGAAACATGGCTGGAACAAATGTAGAAGCCTTTAAGAGGAAACTGGACAAGTATCTTCACCAGGTGCCAGATCAACCAGGCTGTGATGGATATGTGAGGCAGCAGGCCTGCAGCAGTAACAGCCTGGTTGACCAGGCAAGCACAAGACGAGCCTGGCCCATGGCCGGGCTCAGAGATTAGACAAATTCTCGAAACTATTCAAAGGTAAGGTAAGGTACTTACCAGCTCAAAGCTCTCTTCAAAACATCCTTCCCTTCACACTAAAAAATATATTCCTGGAAATAGTTCAGAATATGGCATAATACATAAATAATCCTTAAAATAAATTGACAGATTAGGGTGAAGATGTGACTGCTGAGCTCATTGACTGTATGATACAAGGTATATTGGTAATGTATACTCTGGTCACCAAACAACAGCATATGTTTGGAAATAGATCATTCTTCTCCTAAGAGTAATTGACCTAAAGAAAAATTTACCCACCAAATTGTTTTTGGAAGCCAAGATTATACTACACTTAAACATTCACCAGTAAAAATGTGGGAACCCTGCACAAGCCACAGGCTTCCTGTCCCCTCCATGATGACTAGAGACAGTGGCCTTCAAGCAAATAAATATCTACTGATTACAATTGGTATGTTAACTAAGTACAAAACACCGAGACAACTGGAATGAATGAAATCCCATCTAAAAATGATAAAAAGCAGTAACTTATGAGTTATGTATACCAGTAATAGTGCTATTCAGAAAATCCTTCAGTACTGCAAATCATGTTCTAATCTTAAAAAAAAAAAAGGAAGAACCCTTTCTCTACTAGTAGACTTATTTGGCATCTTGACACTTGCATCTTTCACTGTTAAATCTGTTTGCCCACTTGGTTTTCTTGCCTTATTAAATCTCTCTTGAAAACTATTTTATATTAGCAAAATTTGTGGATATTGTCTCACCTTACCTTTTATTTGCCACTTTTAAACACATCTGATCTTTTAACCTTTTCACTGTCTTGTGCAGATCTAGTTTTTGGGGTTGGTGTCATTTATGTATCTATGTCTTGATCATAGCTCCCTCAGATATACTGTAAGCAGTGGTATAAACCTTGGTAATAAATACCGACAAGTTGGTTTAGAAAGACACATAAGCAAACACTATAACATATTTATTAGAAAACGTTTCGGTCCTGGGACCTTGATCACTTCGCATCTCCAGCCCTTGTTTTCTAGAAGAAGAATGCACTTACATAACACAAGCCTTTACACGTCTTCAGTTCCCATCTTTCTTCATCCGAGATTGCAGACTCAAGGCACAAGCTATCCTCAACAAACTGCCCATGGAACAGCCCCCTAAACAGTTCATAGTACTCCCATGTGGCGATGTTGCCACGAATACTCGCCGGGCACTTGCTATGAATAACATCAACGTTTCCACCATAAACACATCCTCTATCAAAGACCTCACTACTAAACGCAGCCCCACACCTCTAACTTCTACAGCAGGCGTCTACACTATCCCCTGTGGGTTCTGTCCCAAGAAATATGTAGGCGAGACAGGCAGAGATCTTGCAGTCCGCCTGAATGAGCATCGAAATGCCTCTAACAGAGACGATGTAAGGTACGCCTGTGTCCTCCACAGAGACTCCACGGGGCATTTGATGAACTGGAACGAGGCACAACTCGTTCTCACCGAACCAGACCTCAGACGCCAACGGTGCCTAGAAGCCTCACTAATCACCGTCACCGACACTATAGAACGCAACACTGGAAACTACAAAATTTCAAAAACATTGGCATACATGATACTTAAGCAGCACCAACCCAACAACACAGGAGTCACATGATTTCATCGTCTACCCGTCCTCATCATAGGCAGAGGTTGTTTTGATAAGGACCTGCCTTGCATGGGCCAGTAGGCCTTCTACAGTGTTCCTCCATACTTATGTTCTTATGACATTCCTCAGGTCACGTGCGTCACATCTCACTCTCCGCCTATATATATAATGTCTTTCTACCTCTGTATGTTAGAAGTGATCAAGGTCCCAGGACCAAAACGTTTTCTAATAAATATGTTATAGTGTTTGCTTACGTGTCTTTCTAAACCAACTGTAAGCAGTAAATTTTGGCCTAAATACGTATGAGAGAATGGGTCTGTGTGGTTGATGTGCATAGTATAAAGAAACATCGTGCTCTATTCATTGCATGATGGGAACGACTAACCTCTGACCTTGCATTTGGGTTAAAATAGTAACTTTGAGGTGTTTTCTAGGGTGGCTTTCATAGTTTTATTGACTGTTTCTTGGTGATGATTGATAGACTAGACAACACACTAGTGAAATGGAGATGATTTTGGTCTGTTTCAAATTGCAAGTGGCAAAAACAACGAATTATTGACAATTTTCCAGAGGAAGGGTAGGGGTTCCCATACTACTTCACCCACTGCCTGGAGTGTCATATG